TTATTTGAATCGCTTGAAGTTAGTTGCTGTAATGTCCGCTGAGCGTTGTGAGCGTTAAGTGGAACGATGAAAAGAGCGTTGTAAGCATTGCGAGCGCTAAGTGGAACGCACCCTTAATATATACGTTCACTATATTGCTTTCGATTCTTTGTAGTACCGACTTACAATCAGATAAAATAATGATATCCTTTTCCTTATTACTCTTATCTTCGTAAACTACTTCTAATGCACCCTTTATAGCGAACGCCTCCGCTGTGTATATTGGGCAGTCTTTCGGGAGACTAATATTATAGGCCTTTTCTTGATTTTTAAAAACTATGCTAGCGCCAGTCGCACTTCCCTCTTCCCTTTTTGAGCCATCTGTATATACTATTACAGCGTCTTTCGAAGTTCCGTATTCTTTGTCTATCTTTTCTTTAAGTTGTTTGCGCTATCCTTTATTTTCCTATACTCTCCTATATTGACATCTAGTTTTGCTATATAGGTAGTGTCTTCGAAATTCATATCTAGTATCTCGAATTTTCTATTCGGTCCTAACTTCTTTTCTAATTTGCGTACCGCTACCCATGCTTCCGATAATATTTCTTGATCGCCGGTTGTCTTAGTCTACTCACTATATTTTCTATTTTCTCTAATTCAATGACACTAACAAATATTTTTGCTTAAAAAGTTCCTAGCTAAGAATCCCGCTCTATCTTTGATATACATAACTTTTGATTCTGCTAAAAGCACATTGGTAGGCGTACTATTTTTTAGTCCTAGCGCCGTTCTTATTCCCGCAAATTGCCCTCTTTCTAATTTCAGTCTTCTATTCTCATCATTTGGGTAATAGATAAAACTCCCGTCTACTACCGATCTTACTAAACTTTTATAGAGCATTAAGGCCATATTGACTTCCATTCCTTTGGATTTTTTATTCAGATATTTCATTAAAGAATTTGCTCTATCCATTTTACCTCTAGTTACTTGAATCTGCTTATCAAAGTTAAATTTATTATCCATCCAAATCCCTAGGAATTTTGTTTCACGGGAGTTCTGTATCGGTATATCCCCTATCTTAATACATATATTTTTATCATATAAACCGTATTTATTGTATTCAACTAGTATAATTTTTTTTGGTTCGAGTTCTAATCCTAAACTGCTCAGTCTTTTCGCTATAGTATTCACCGCTTTCGATAACTTAAATTTATTTTCGTTTCTGTTCGCTCCGGCTATATACATTGCAGTATCGTCGGCGAATTGTACAATGTTTATCTCCTTATCTATATTTAGCGTGATTGTACTTGTATACAGTGCATACATTATTGGACTCAAGACCGCCCCTTGATTGATTGATTGATTGATTGATTAAGCGTTTATTTGTGCTCTAGGGCAAGCCCTCTAAGAGCGGGTGATACCCGATTGACCACGTCCCGATTGACCACCAGCCACTCACAGCGCTTGAACAGTGGAAAACCTCTAGGCACCGGCCGCTGTGAGTGGCTGTGGTCAATCGGGACGTGGTCAAACGGGACGCTCCCTCTAAGAGCAAACCGAAATTTGGTACATTACAGCAATGAAAAAAAAAAAAAATAATAATAATAAGGAAATAATAATAATAATAATAGTAATATAAATAGTAATAATAATAATAAAGATAGTACTAAATAAAATGCAACAAAATTAAACAAAAAGAATTGTACAGGCAAATAATAATGCTAAAGAAAATGATACAAAAGTAAGAAAACTTAAAGTAAATAGGAAAAACTAAACCTACTAGAAAACAGGAGAAAAGAATCGCTAAAGAATCGCTAAAGAATCGCTAAAGAACACAGAAAGTTGATGACAACATAAAGAAATGAACGGAGATATGAAATGTAAATCGCAGATCGCGAGCATAGAAGCCGAATGAAGGAGAATGAAATAACACAATAATAATAGAACTAATAGAAAAGAGCGCAGGTTAAGGGTTACAACAGAAGCTAAAGTGCTAAGATGCTAATATGCCCGTATCTGAAAAGAAAAGAATGAATGAAAATTAAAAGCAATAGTAAAGGAGGCATGAGGATGACTGAGAACGTGGTAGTCGTAGGTCCACAAAAGTAACCCAGGCAAGCAAGGGCTAGCGGGGATCCCCGCCAGCCTGGGGCTGCAGATGACGAAAGAGCCTGGACCTGAAAATGCCCACCGCCTCGGATTCTCTTATGCTCGTAGGGAGAGAGTTCCAAAAGGTGGTAGCGACGGAGAGGAAGGATTGCTGGTAGGAAGAGGTGCGACTGGAGGGAACTATGAGGTTTAGGGGAGAGGTTCTGGAGGCGGAGCGGGAGCTAGTATGGAAACGGAGGTCACGGGAGAGGAAAGATGCGCAGTGGTAAAGAAACGATTCATCTCGTCTAGAGAAAAATCGGGGGGAGGAGCAGAGGATTTGGATTTAATGAGGCCCAGCGCGCGAAGCTCAGACCAGAGGCGTGAGGAGTTAAAGGAAGGATTGAGGTGCCGAAGTAAGTAGCTGGTTCTTGCAGTGCTGACAAGCGCCGCTACCTCGTTGCGGAGAAGACGATAAGCCTCAAAGTGAGCATGAGAGGGATGGCGACGAAAGAGACGTCTCGCAGCCTTACGTCGGCGCATACAGAGCCTGATGTTCCGGTCAAGCCACGGAGCGGGGGGCCTTTTGGCTGAGAAAGAGTGGAAGGGGGCATAAGCGTCGTAGGTAGCGAGTAAGTGATTAGTGAGAACATCAACCCTCTCATCGACCGTGGAAGTCCGGGCAAAGATAGACCAGTCCAGGGAGCGGAGCAAGTCAAGGAACGGGCCCAGCTGAAAGTTGGAATAATCCCGACAGGTGATAATACGAGGGGGCATACGAAGAATTAGTACATTTAGGGAGATCTTGCAGGGATCATGCATGGATAGGAAGGAGAGGGAGTCTTGATGAAAAGATGAGATGAGAGACCGATCGCTCAAAAGGCAGTGGTCGATTCGAGTATGAGAGTGAGCAGTGTCAACGAAAGGGACGAGATACAATTGGAGAGCCTCACATGAGTCCAAGAAGGAAGTAGAGTCAAAGGTGGACACGTTGACGTCGATATTAAAATCCCCTATGACAACAGCCGCAGAGAAAGAGGGATGGAATCTCTCGAATTCGGCAGAAAAGGTCTAGGTACCTGATCTTCGGAGGACGGTACACCGTTGCGAGCAGAAACGGACGGCATCTCGGAGCGACCACTCGAAGTAGCAGGTACTCTGATTGCGCGCAGTAAATTGCAGGAGACGAGATCAAAATCTGGGTGCGAATGTCGTGACGCACGTAAACGCTAATCCCATCACCCCCCCTTCCCTCCCGGTTATATCTGAGAAGTCTATATCCGGAGAGTACGATGAAGGAATCCGGAATATGAGGCTTCAGTCAGGTCTCAGACATGGCTATAATATCGTAGTGATTGTTAGAAAAGAAGTGACAAAATTCAGCGAAGTGGGGGAGAAGAGACTGGCAGTTTACGTGGCAGATACGCAGGGGAGCGCAAGCAGGCGGCGATAGAGAAGCGTGTCATTCACCGCGCGGCGGCGGCCGCCTTGAGGGAGACCCTTAGAGACTACTCGCTCGCATTTCTTTTCATTATTAATGAAACTCTACATTCCTATTATACATCCATTTACTCATGAAGCGTACTATATTTGCTGGGCAGTTAAGATCGATCAACTTTTTCATTAGGTTTTTATATTGCACGTTATCATATGCTGACGTAACATCTAAATACGCCACCAGCGTGTATCTATCCTTACACCCTGCCGACTTAATATCTGCATATAATCTGGTAAGGTTTTCCGCACATGATCTACCCCTTCGAAATCTATTCTGTTCTTTATATATTTTATCTTCCTTTTCTGCCCACCAAACAATCCTCTCATTTACCATTCTCTCAAATATTTTTCCTACACACGATGACAGGGAT